GAGAGAGAGAGAGAGAGAGAGAGAGAGAGAGAGAGAGAGAGAGAGGGAGAGAGAGAGAGAGGAAAAAGAAAACCGATATGAGTTCTTATTAACTTACTTATCATTATTGGCCATAAAGTTCTAAAGAATCTAAACATAGTTACCCTTGTTGGCCAACCTATGTGTTTCATTATCTCGGAATGGCTCCTTTTGTCTTGTGAATGTTGTCATCTTTGTAACTGAGATCAAAATGTGGTTATGCTGGCCATTGGCCAAGCTAAAGCCAGCTAACCCCCATTTCCCACCCAAGGTCACCCTCACTCCAACAGATAAGGGAAACAGAGAGTGGGGGGGGCGGAGGGGGGCCAGGTAGGGGAGAACTGGGAGGGGCCCGATGGGGTTCCAGAACTTCCAGGGACCAGGATACAATGCCATGGAAGTGCGTATTTAACGTTTGGGGGATGTCCTTCACCGAGTGTAAGTATTCAAGATGTGTGATCTTTCACCCTGGACTTGAGGCAACTTTGGTAAAATTCCCATTCAAATTCATGTATGTTACTTTGTTCTGTTCACAAGTTAAACGCTGCTCAGTGAGAGACAGTAGCTTCTCTCTTGAGTAGGAACAGGAGTGGAGAAGTGGATATTGATTTTTCTTGTAGCGTCTTGGAAGCCTGAATCCATACTAGGGAGGGAGAGTGCTTCCTTCTGAATGTATTCTTTTCTAGTCTAAGATGGAAGTTGATTGGTTGCTAAACTTGCTATTGTAATGACCTGCAAAAAAACAGACTGAGAACACTGCTGATTTCTGAGTTTTGCCGCTGCAATGTGTGCTGTGCTGATATTCCCGCTTTGAATCTGCTGAGATTCTAAGTCTGTGTGTGTGCATGCTTGCTGGTTTCCATGTGCCTGTCTGAGTGCATGTCTGCCTGAGTGTGTGTGTGTCCTAACAGGGCGCTTGATTTTTTTTGAGGCCCGTGTGGCTGGTATACTTACCTGTGGATGTGACTTTGAGGGTTGCAGTGGGGAAAAACACTCAAGTGGCCTAAGGGGTAGCTTAGGGCACACTCAAGTAGGGGTAGTGTGGGCCCGGTAGTACTTGAATGGTGGTAGGCCGAGCAGAAGAAGACAAAAAGTTTGTATCTTTAGGGGTAGTAGTCTGGTGGGCTGAGTCTAGGGCCTGTACGGTAGATATCGGGCCTGCAATGATGTTTCCCTCCGTAACGGAGGGCTCGGGAGGAGAGACCGATTGATTGGGAGGCCGAGCCGGCTGGAAGTCACCGCCCAAGAGGCAGGTTGCCCGCTATATTTACAGGCCGATCTTCGAGCTCACGCTCATTTGCGGTGAGCAAGTTTGGGTGTCACACTGCGCTGGTTGGAAGTGCACTGTGTAGAGCGCTGGGAGGAACATCGCCTCGGTTTCCACCTTGGCTATGGTGGACAGCGCCAGGAAGGAGGAGGAAGAAGGGGTCCAGGAGGAGAGTGACCAGGGGTACTTACCCGGCTATGGCGGACGCCATCTTCATCTCCTTGGTTGGGAGGGTAACCCTACAGCTTAGTCCTCTGGCCTAGCTCCTGGTCTTTGAGCTTATAGATAGTTTTAGTTCCGGCAGCCAGGTGCCTCTGTTCTTGGTGGAGGTGCATTTAGTGTTGTTTTTCAGAATCGTTTCTACAGTGGTTTATGACTGGAAATAAAGGGAATCTGGTGATACGCGTGGAATTGCTAATTACTGTAGCGGCGCCACCTTGTCCAGTGAGACTGTAACAAGGGGCGGTGGGAACACTACCGGTCAGATGGCACCAGAGAACTGGTGAAGGGCAAACTTGAGTTGTACCCATTGCGATCGCTATATCAAGAAGGTCCAAGGGTGCGTGGTGGGAAACCCGTCATGGCAGCTCAGGCTCATTACAGGGTGCTGGGACAGTGTGGGTGAAAGGATAGCTCGCCACAGCGGCTCATGAGTGTGAAATCAAGGCAATCCTTACTATAAGTTCAGGGTGAAACCCACGGAATTACTAATAGCGGCGCCTTTCTGAGCGGTGGGAGGGTATCAAGAGGTGGTGGGAACGCTATTGGTTAGGTGCTATGAGAGAACCGATGAGAAGCAAACTTGAACTGTACCCATTGTGTCCGCAAAAAACGAAGGTCCAAGGGTGCGTGGTGGGAAACCCGTCATGGCAGATCAGGCTCCTTACAGG